AAATATTAATTTAATGAGAAATAAAAAAAAATAAATTTCAAAGATAAAAAATTACTTATTAATACAAAATATAAAGATAATTCAATAGTAAAGAAAATTTAAATTATCTGAAAGTAATAGAAATATATATTCAATTAAAAAAGTTCTCATTATATTAATAATTATTTAACATTATCAAAAATCTAAATAATAAATCAAGAACTAAAATTAAAGAAACTTATTAATAAAAAGATATAAAATTATTAAGTAATAATATTATTAATTATAATTATTATAATTCTGATATCTTTAATAGTTAAAGACTTGCTTATTAAAAGAAAAAATATTAGTTTAATAAGAAATAAAAAAAAAATAAATTCAAAAAATAAAAAATTACTTACTAATATAAAACATAAAAATAATCTAATAATAAAGAAAGCTTGAATTATCTAATTAAGATAGAAATATATATTTAATCAGAAAAGTTCTTATTATATTAATATAATTATTTATCATTATCAGAAAATTCAAATAATAAATCAAGAACTAAAGTTAAAGAAACTTGTTAATAAAAAGATATAAAATCATTAAGTAATAATATTAATCAGATTATTAATTATAATTATTATCATTTCAATATCTTTAATAATTAAAAACTTGCTTGCTAAAAGAAAAAAATTAATTTAATAAGAAATAAAAAAAAATAAATTCTAAAGATGAAAAATTATTTTCTAATATAAAATATAAAGATAATTTAATGATAAAAAAAGCTTGAATTACCTGATAAAGATAAAAATATATATCTAATTAAAAAAGTTCTTATCATACTGATATAATTATTTACTATTATCAAAAAATTTAAATAATAAATCAAAAATTAAAGTTAAAGAAACTTGTCAATAAAAAGATATAGAATTATTAAGTAATAGTATTAATCAAATTATTAATTATAATTATCATTATTCTAATATCTTTAATAATTAAAAACTTACTTATTAAAAGAGGAAATATTAGTTTAATAAGAAATAAAAAAATAAATTTCAAAGATGAAAAATTATCTATCAATATAAAATATAAAGTTAATTTAATAATGAAAAAAATTTAAATTACCTGATAGAAATAAAAATATATATTCTAATTAAAAAAGCTTTTATTATATTAATAATTTCTTATTATTACTAAAAAACTTAAATAATAAATCAAGAATTAAAATTTATCAAAAAAAAATATGAAATGATGTTAAATAAATCCTAATTTTATATTAAAAAATTAATATCAATCAAATAATTAACTATAATTATTATTATTTCAATATCTTTAATTATTAAAACTTATTAAAAAAAAGATAATTAGATATTATTTTTATTAATTAATTAAAATACTTTAATATAAAATATAAAACAAAATCTTTAATTAGAAAAAGTAATAATTATAATTAGAAATAAATTAATAAAATATATTAATTATATTTAAAGATAGCACCTCAATTAGTTATAACTTGTGATAGCTAATTAGAGAATTGTGATAGAGTTATGATAGTCAATCAGAAAATTATGATAGAGTTACAGCTAGTTGCAGTTCTCATTACTAATTATGTTAAATATTTACTTATTTACAAATTTATTTTTTCTATAACTTCTTTATTAAATAATACTTATAATATAGATATAGCATCTAATAAATATATTTCTCTTTTTTAATTAAATCTATAAGTAATATTAAATTTATTTAATTATAATAATACTAATAACTTTTAGAATAAATAAAAATTAGTTTATTTAATAAAATTCTTCATTTTTTAATTAAAAATTACAAAGCTTGCTAAATACAATATAATAATATAATATGATATAAAATATTAAGAACAGATAAAATTTTACTAAAGATCAGATATCATAATCTATATAAAAATTTTCTTTTTATAAGCTAAAAATATTTATTTTACTTATTATTAATACAATCTCATCAGATCACTTTCTAAAAATAAAATAGATAAAATATTAGTCATAAATAATAAAATTAATAATGTATTAATAGTATTAGAAATATTTTATAAGTTAAATAAAAATCTATATTAAATCTGAATAGAAATTTTTTTTCTTAATTATTAATAATATTGAAAAAAAAAGTATATTTAATGTTAATATAATAGATTAATTAGCAAATTTACTTGAGTAAAAAGAAGTTAAATAAAAATCTTTTTCATATATAATATATATACTAAAAAAAGATATAAAAATCAAAATATATTTTCTAATAAAATAATATTCTCTAATAATAATACAAAAATAATTATGAAAGTATAACTGATAATTTGAGAGAAAAATATAATAAATTATTTTATGATATTAAAGATCTGAAGAAAGTAATAATTATATTATGATTATAAAATCAAAGATAAAGTTGTAAAGTTTTTTATAAAAATTACTTTAAACTTTGATCTTTTTAAAAGATATATTTTACTAATACTTAAATTATATTTAATGAGAAGAAAATCTATTAATATATTCTTAATAGTCTTCTTGATTTTCTCAAAAGACTTTTTAAATATTATTAGATAATTAAATATTTTTATTTATATACTAAAAAAAAATAATCAACAAAAGAGATATATGATATATTATTTTTGCTATAATCAATAAAGAGAATATTGATTTAAGTAATTAAGAAACTAGTTAGTTAAATATATTAGCAAAGCTAAACTTGTAATTTAAAGATTTAATTATGAAAATTTAATTATAGTTAGAATTGATTTCAATAAAAAATAAGTTTTATTAACTATTTAGTATTTTAAAAAATATATATATCTTATATATTATAAATTTAATTTATTAAAAAATATTAAAATATAAATTAAGAAAAATATAATTTATAATTTATATAAAAATAAAATCTATAAATAACTTTATAAAAAAAAATTAATAGATAAAAAAATATATATCTATCAATAAGTATATTATTAGATTATATAATATTTAAAATAATAATATGTAATTAATATAGTAAATTAACTAAATTTATAAAAAACTTTATTAAGTAAAATATATTTTAATATAAAAAGTTTAAAGTTATTTTCTATCTTAAAAATAACTTTATTCATAGTTTGAAATTTATTATATCTTTCATGAATAAAATTAAAAAAGATAATATTACAAAGCTTATTATAAACTTAATATTTAAAATAAATCAGTAAAAATTTAAATTATTTATTATAAATAATAATTATAATAGATATAATATATCTCTAATATATCTTTTTTTAGATACTTATATTATATTAAAAGATTGAGTATTTGATCTAGCAAATATAATAAATATATATACTAATTAAAGATATTATTTTAATTAATTATAACTTGTGATAGTTAATTAGAGAATTATAATCAATTATAATAGCTAATTAAAGAATTATAATAGTTAATCAGAGAATTATAATCAAGTTATAATGCTATCTTTAATACTAATATCTTACAAAAATTCTTTAAAATATTATAAAATAAGAATATTTAGTCAAGTTTTATATTACTAAAGAAAGATATTAAAGAGATAATAATAATATAAGAAGCTTGATCATGAATATCAAATATTTAGCTTTGTTTATAGTATATTAAGTATATTATAAAAAAAAATTAAATAAATAAAAATTTTATAAAAGTCAATATATAACTGAGAAATCTAGTAAACCTTACTAATAATTTAGTTTTATTAATCTAATATAACTTTTTAAAGATTAAGAAATCTGTAAATATACTAAAGAAAAAATTAAGAAAATATTATAAATAATAAAAAGCATACTCTTTTACATTCTTTAATATTTTTTAATACAGATCAATTTCTTATATCTTTAAAACTATATAAATTTTATACTTAAGAAACTTATCAATATTACTAATAAAAAAATTATACTGCAATATAGAAATATCTTTAGTATAATTAATATAATTATAAGAATTAGTAGTTATTTATCTATATCTCATATACTAATACAATACTAATCACTTAGATAATAATAATTACTAAGTTTTATTAAAGAATATTCAAGTATAATTATAATTACTTATATTTTAATCAATTAATTCAAATATTAATATAATAATTAATTAAAGATATGAAGAATATAATAGTACTTTATTTTTAATAAATATATATTTCTTACCTGATAGAATACTTTTAAATAAGAATAATTAGAGCTTTGTCAAAGTTTAATTAATGAGAAAGAAAGATATAATATATATCTAAAAACTTGAATATATTTATATTTCATATTTTTAAATAATTACTTTCTAATGTGCAAGTATCTTGTTACAAAAAAATCAGTTTAGTATCAGATTTCTTTTTTTATTTTATTTTCACAAAGTACTAATATAATTATCTATTTATCTTTTTTGATATGAATTATCATTAATAAATTAGTATATATAATAATTTTTAGAATAAATATATATAAACTATCAGTATATTCATGATATTTATAAGTAATTCTTATATTATCATTAATTAATATCAAAATTCTAAACAAAATAAAGATATAATAAATAAAATTAGACAAATATTTAAGTTAAAAATATCTTTATTAAAAGAAAATATAAAAAATAATAGATTCATATAAGAATTCAAAAGAATAATCAAGTTACTTGCACAAGAAATTGATAAATGCTATGAAATTCTTAATACAAGAACTCAGTAACACATCATGTAATACTCTAAAAATTGATAATTAACTTTTTAATTATATTAAATATTAATACCTCATAATTTATATATTAATATAAAAAGAAATCTGCTTTATTATATTTTTTTTATCTTTTTTGTCATATATAATAATATATTATTTATTAAACATTAAACTAATATCAAATATATATTACCATTATATTAAACTAATATCAAAAAAGGAGATTTACATAAATGAAACTCCAGAAAGACAGATTGTGATTGGAAGTCACATGGTCTGTCATTTTCATATCACAAGAATATGGAATAGAAATTGTAATTGGTGACGTATCTGTGCCCATTATTTCTCACAAAAAATCTGTTTGATCTTGGGTTCTCGTGTTCACTGCCGCCATGCAATCCATGATCATTTTCTATTTGTAAATATGGTACGGTGCAAAAAGATTCGTACATGAAAATAAGTAGTTAGGATTTCCGTAAGTGATCTGCGTGCGTAACCAAACCAGATCGCACAATTTTTACATGTCTGGTAGCACATGTGCAAGCCTACCTATCTTCCAAATTTTGTTGCTTTTCAATGTCTGCTTCTTGAGAAAAACGACAAAATGTTCCGTTAACAGAAAATGAAAAGTTGATGATTATCAACATTCACAATTACTTTTCCAACCCTACTGCACTAGATAAACAACATCAGAAGTTCACATTACGCAAGCGTGTTGCCATGGTTACAGGTATTGCAGAAAGTACAGTTAGTGTTGTTGTGTCTGATTGGAATCAGCGCAACGATGGTAAATTTTTGTTGCACAAAAATCTTGGACGACCTAAATCACAGCCTGACAAAAACATCACCACTCTTTTACATGCAAAAATTATTGATGCCAACAAGACAGCTAAACAACTCGCTATACCTATCTTGCTAGCATTTCTTTCTGAGCATGGATATGTAATTTCAAAGTGGAAACTACTTTGTATCCTACACCATTTGGACTACTATTACGGTCGGGGAGAACAAAGAAATATACTTCACGAGTCACCAAATAATGTGTCTTTTCATTATCGGTATCTTCGTTATCAGTTTGCCAATATAGAAGACAACAACAATATTCCACACCGCCCAGAAGTTTTTCTCGATGAATCATATTGTCACTTACACCACACTTCACCAAACACTTGGCTTCCGCACCGTGGTATTATTTCAGTACAAGGACATGGACCACTGTTAGTGATTTTTGGAGCTATTATTGTTTTTAGAAATGGCGATACTAATAAGCTACATGGTGAGCTTATTCCCAACTCTGTTTATATTTGGGACCTAGCAATAAAACCATCAGGAAGCCGGGGACGAAAATGACGTAATGCAGAAGCATGGCAAGACATTCCAGCAGTGATTAAAAATGCCAATATCACTCCCAATCAAGTCGATTACCATGGAAATTTCAATGCTGAGATTTTTGAGAACCTTTTTGAAAAGCTTTGCCAATTTATTAGCACCAAATATGGTGTAGTAGATATTCATATGGATGGCGCACGGTATCATAAACGACGTATTGAAAGTATTCCAACATCAAGTACAAGAAAAGCAGAGATAATTGATTGGTTAACCAATCATGGTATTGCCTTTTCTATCGGATTACAGAAGCCAGAACTCTTAGAACTAGTACAAAAAAACAAAGAAAAAATACCATTTGCGTCTGTAGAAATAGCAAAGAAGTATGACCACCAGGTTTTTTTCACTCCTCCATATCATTGCGAACTTCAACCGATTGAGGGTATCTGGGCGATTGTGAAAGGTGAGGTGGCAAGATCGGGACCACATATAGATCTTTTGGCTGTTAGAAATAAGCTTCTATATGCTTTCCAAGAAAAGATAAATTTGAAAATAATTCTTGGATTTTGGAAAAGAGCACTTGAAAAAGCAAAAGATTATAGAGAATCTAATGAATATGTAATTTTATTAGATGAAGAAACTGATCATGAATTATCTGATGCTAGTAGCGCTGATTACAATGATTAACTTTGAAATAAAATTATATTAAATTGGTTCCCAGAACATACACTTTTTATTTATTAAAAAAAATCGCAAGTTAATTTGGTGGAAAATTTTTTATTAATTTTAATCTGGTGTACGAACCTTTTTGCACCGTACCATAGAAGTTAATGAATAAATAGTGCATTTCTCTGATGAAACTGACGAATACGGAAAATAAATAATACCTTCATTCGCCACACATTAGTTAACACCCTGATAAGATCTTTTATTTTTTCAGCCATAGCTGGCACATCAAGAATCTTCTCTCGTTTTAATATTATTACATATCCCTTGGGACTACTCATTTGTAAAACTTGCAATTTGAGGCCTACAACTCAAATTAAATCAGTTTACTTCGACAAAAAGTATTAAAAACTGCAGATTCATTATTTTATTTACCCATGTGAAGCATGCCAGCGACTCGCAGTTGCCTTACTTTCTTTTCTTCGAAACGGACTTTTTCACTTAAGCATACAAAGATATCATGCATAGCCTTCACCAGTTTAAACCCATCGGTCAACAGTTTGGCTGTATCAAACTTCTTGGCCACTTCAGTCGCTCCATACTCAACATCACCAATGTACATCCGGAATATTCCATCCATCCGATATCCCATCTTTTTACGTTCTGGCTTTCTGCGAAGTGTACGTGCCCTCTTTCGGTTTTTCCGCGTGGCTACCGCTACACTTGACGATTCCTTTCTGTGAAAAAATAAGTCAAAGTCCAAAACTGTAACGAAGTAATTATGATAATCGCAGGAGACGTACCTGACAGTTTCCATTCCAATCACATCGCAGAGACCGTGATCGATGATAAGCGACCACACATTTATGTCATACCAGGACTCGAGATGTTGCTTTTGCAGTGTTTCATTAGGGTCTTCATAATACGTAAGACTTTCAGTAATAAATGGAGTGTATGTTAATAAGTCTTTGTAACAATATCGCCGATAAAAGGCAAATACTCACAACTTCCTCATCACGATTTCGGCCCATTCAGCATCGTAATGTTTTACTCGATCATAAGGTTCATCCTCATTTAAAAAGGATGTTGTTTCTAAGACGAGTCTTAGATCGCTTGCTGTTTTAACCTGAAATTGGTAATAGCATCAAGTTCTGGACAAATTGAAAAAAGCTAGTTATCCTCAACTTACATTCGAAAATCGCATCATAGAATCTGCAAAAGTACGATCAACCTTTGGCAAAATTTTGACAGCACACTGGATTTCATTCCATTCTTCAGTTGTAAATAACGAATCTGTTTCTCTATCATCAAGGTCAATAATCCATGAATGTAGGAGTGATTCAACTGGCTGTCGTCTACAATATTCGAAAAGGGTGTCTTCGACGCACTTTCCAGAAGCGAGAACCCACTTATGAGCTACATTCATTTTTTTGTAGGATTCCTGGAAATCCTTGAGTTGTGATGATAACAACAATTGGGGGAGAGGGATCTCATCTTCAAAATCGCTGGTATTACGAAAAGAAGTATGTTGCGAGCCTAAGAAAAAAAGTCGAAGAAATTTCAAAAATCAATTATTATGATACCTTAATATGTAATCCGAATTATCATCATCAGATATAAAAACGGATTCTTGTGCTTCAGGCTCGGTCTAAAAGAATATCACCAGTTAGCAATTGTTCAGTCTTGATTGCTATGAATTAATCAGAACAATTTGCTTCGATGTGAAGACCATACCTCATCCTCTTCTTTATCTGTTTCGTTGGAAATTTCTCGTTTATTGTTTATGTTTTCCGATTTTCGTCGTTTCTTAATCGGATTTGTTATTTTTTGTTTAGAGGGTCCTTGAAAGAAATTATCGATCTCGGAATTAAGCGTTCCTTCATTGAACCCAACAGGTCCAACTACAGTGCCCGAAATTATAAACGAGGGTCCTCTGGCTGAATTTTGCTCCTTAGTTTCCTTCCATTTTCGCGCTACTTTATAATCGGGCCGTTGTTCCTAGGAAAAAAGAAAAATTAGTAATATTCTCAACTAGTACTTTACAATCCTTTGTCTGATATCTGTCCCACTGGTTGTCCCGAAGACTTAAACATCAGATGAACCCGAAGTTACCCAATGTCCCAGAAGGGCTAGTGCTGGGTCACCCCGAAGGCTTGAACACCAGATGAACCCGAAGTTACCTGGTGCCCCAACACTAGCTTTGTGGCTGAACCCGAAGTCTTGAATAAGATTTTCTAAAAACCTTATAACGCCACTTATACTTTCAAAACTTTCAAAGAAAAAGACTCATACTTGCCTTCTTATAGTTATTTAGCAACAGACGTGCCTTATCCTTTCTTTTGCCTTTCTCCATGTCAGCAATAATCTCAAGAGATTTAGTATATGATTCTATTTTACGGTGGTATGGTTCTAGGTCGCACTCTTCCAAGAAATCAGTAATATTCCACTTTGATGATGCCCTTTCAAAATATTCGTGTATAGACATGATTAAAAAAATAAAAATTTTGACATGCAGTAGGTAGATTTAGGGAGTGTGGAACTGGAGCACAACGAAAAAAAAACTTTTCACAAAATGCATATGCCACGAGTTAGTCAATCAGATTTAGAATTTATACCGTATCGCACTGCTTATAGAAAATATAAACGCGAAAGATTTTACAAACGCGAAAGATTTACAAACGCGAAAGATTTACAAACGCGAAAGATTTACAAACGCGAAAGATTTACAAACGCGAAAGATTTACAAACGCGAACTTTTTTTTATACCCGTGATTGGAAAAAAAAGAAGAATGACTTAATTCGGGGAACCGTTAAAGCGTTGTATCCACGTGACATATGTGGCTGGTATCCATTTCGAATGGCGATCCGCCGCCGTAGTCGGAGATCCCGAGTGTGCAATATGTAATATAAATCGGAGTGTGCAATACTGTATGTAACGGTAATATATAAAGTATGATAAATATCAAACAACCTTTTTGACTCATCTGTACCTACAAAATTACTAATATCTTGAGAATATTGTTATGCAATGTTAGTTAGGAGCTGTTTTTTTTAATGCTGCTGGTGGCATGTTCTTGGTAGTCAGAATTACAAAGTAATAAGCATAATGTTGAACAAAATAGGACTTTTTTTTACTTTATTTTATCACTAATGTCGTAATGTTGAACAAAGTGATTTTTTTTTTACTTTTTTTATTTATCACTAATGTTATTCACTTATAAATTCCTTTCTTGTTGTTCAATTCTCCATTTCATTTCTTATTCACTATATAATCATTTATTCACTTCTATTTTTCGGTATTTTTTATTTTTGATATGTTACAATTTGAGCACGTACCAATTACACATATATAAAAAATCAAAAATGCATTTTTCAAAAACTAAAAATGTGTTTGATTACTTTACAACAAACTTGAAATGGATTTCACAACTTTAACATCTGATCAAAAGTGTGTTATTCTCTTTAATATTAATCAACCACTCGAAATTCCACTGTCTGAGTTTAATAACAAGTGATAGTCTCTGGTTACAAATATATGAACTATATTTAACTATAAATACCATATTAATGGTGATTTGTGGAAGACTTATATTTGTTATTTCAATAAATATAAGCAATTGAATACTCAAAAAGAAGGAATACCAAGTGAGAAATGTCAAAAATCAATAATCCAGCCAGCAAATTTGTGCTTCGCAAAAATCAAAGTGACTCAATTTGTTGCTGAACAAAAAATATGGATTAAACGATATTATGATTCTCCTGACCACACACATACTTTGAAAGATAGTGAAAGACTAAAATGATCACAGGCTATTCGTATCTTAGTTGAAAATGAAGCTATTAAGAATTATTTATCACCAGAAATTATGCATATTATTAAAGAATATGCAACTGAAAAATTGGATCTCAATTCTAGTATTGAAGAACTAAGATGAACAGAGATTGCTAATATAAAATATAAGACTAATCAAAATCAATCCTCCTATTTTATTAGTAGCATTAATCTAGAGTTTAATATAAATGAAGCAATTTTTTTACTAGTAAATAAAAAATATTTAATTGAACATTATCAAACTATTCAACAGTCTACTCAAGGCTTTATCTTCATGAATCCGGATCAACTTCAAAAGCTTCAAAAATATGGGTGACTAACACTTATTGATTCAACCTATAAAACTAACAAATATGATTGGTGTTTATTTATACTGTATATCCATGATAAATATGGATGTTGGAATGTGGGAGGACATTTTTTTGTAAGTAATAAAACTAGTAATATAGTAGTAAAAGCCTTAATAATAATTCGATAACTTGCTTACTGCTAGAAGTCTTGATACTTTCTTGCAAACCAAAGTAATGTGGAGGTTAACAGCATCAAAATCGTATTTTTGGGTATTCAAAAAGGTAAGCAAGAGTGTGATATTCTCTTTTATACTGTCCATATTATGTGGACTTGGATAGGCAAGATCTATTATGTAAAAATGTGAGACAAAATGAATCAAGTGATACATAAATTAATAAAAATTACTTGTGAGAAGTCTATCTAACAAGTGATAAATAATTGTCTGGTTCCTACTATTTAGCAGTACATCCTAAGAAATTATGTGCAAAATACATACCAGTGGGCTCTTTGGACCCGTTAATACTCTTTTCTTCTTTTACAGGTGACTTCAATAAATATCTTGGAATCCTATCACAATGAATTGAAATAAAGAACCTTTCCATATCATGGTCTAGTTGGTAGGGTATAATTTTTTTATACTTTGATGTTTGCATGCTATTTACCACTAATTTTAATAATTCTAATGATTTTTATTAGGTGCATGCCATCATATTGTTTTACTTGATAAAAAGAAGCATTCAGATTCTGAGTACACTGCCTTTAGATTTTGTATTATAAAGATTTCTGTTGATGATATTGACTGTGAAATTCTTGATGAAATTCACAAATTTCCTTTTCTAATCTAATAAATAATCATTAGTGAAGTCTGTGCTGTTGAAAAGAGGATAGAATATGGCAAAGTGGTGCCTGGTCTAATATCACTTAAATATCATTGCCTATTCTTCTATAAGTATCGCTTGCCCTATCAACATATCTTTCATGAACACATGTATAGAGCTAGGAAATTATTAACAATCAGTACTTAGGAAGATTTCCAGCAAATATTTGAAGGGTGTGAATTCGAGATATATGAGTATTATGACTTGGAAGAGATGGTGGCATCTGATAAAACTGAATGTGAGAGAGCTGCTGAAGATCAATGACAGATCATAAATGAATTGATGGAAAGAATGAGAGATGCATACTGGTGAGTTGAGAAGGGGGGAAATATCAAACAAACAATTTTATTTATGAAAAAATTAAAAGTTAGTTTGGAGTCAGTTTTAAATTAATTTATATTTTTATTATTTACGCAAAATAATATTAAGTAATTTTTTTAAAATAATATATTAATTTCCATAATTATTATTTAAGT